AGGAAAATCCAAGGAAGCGAATTGCGCATTGGAAATCTACAAAATTACGCAAATACAAAAACTTAGATATCTTGAATTTATTTTAACAGATGACGGGAAAACGTGACACCGAAATCCGAAGGCACATTGTAATAGCAACAGAGTCCTTCCCAAAACTCAGTAAAGTATTGGAAAGCTGAAATGTAATACCAACCCTCCCATATGACAATGAATGCTGAACATTCTCTTCACGGATGAAGAGATGACTTCAGACAAAACAGATGCGGTTCTGCAGAAGGATACTGAGAATGCCATAGACGGGGCATGTGCGTGACGACAAATATTTAAGGAAAATTTAATAAAAAAAAGTATCCTTATACCTAGAATCATAAAGAAACAGTTGATATTTCTTCCACACATAACGAGCAAGGAGGGCCTGGAGAATTTAACACACACAGGGCATATCGAAGGCAGGAGTGACAAAGGTTAACAACGAGTAACCTACATAAATGTAAATGAGGCAAACATTGCTAAGAGCTGCAAAGGATAGGAAGTTGTGGAGAGCCATGATCGCTCACATACTAAAAATGAATGTGGTCCAATGCTAATGCACTCTTTGGAAAGTTTCGAACCTGCATCCTCAACTGCAAAGCCTGCAGGAGAGCACATATTCTTTATAAAGTCTCGAATGTGGAAGCCATTAGATGTATTTTCTTTTTATTTCATTTTTTTAATTATTTTATTCCAAGCAAGGCAACAAAGCCGCTAAGACAGGGAGTTACTGAGTGGAAGGAATATAAGAAAAAGGAAAAGAAAACATTATTAAGGAACAAGAACAATAAAAGAAGAGAAATGAAGAGGGCGGAAGATAACGACTGACATTGCATTAAAAAAATTTTGAAAATCAAAGTTGACTGGGAAGCCAGTAGTTGCAAGAGAGTTCCACAAGCGAGAAGTGCGAGAAATAATCTGTTTGCATACAAGTTACATACATATAATAATTCCTGACAGAACTACTTAAGTCAATATTTCTGATCAGCATTTTAGATGACAGACAAAGTTACAGAATTCTTTGATAGCAACAGTTAAAGAAGCAGAAAAGAAACATTGTTATACAATTCTTCAAAATGTATTAGAGAAAAAGTTTCTAAGCTAATAGCCACAGCCCAAATGAGGGTCACAAGGTTATATCTGTGGAAAATTATGCTGAAAAACTGAATTTTTTTTAATCATTTTATCCTAAGCAATGCAATAAAGCCACTAAGATGCAAGGGGTTACTAAGTGTGAAAGAATATTAGTAAAAAAATACTATTAATGAGTAAGAGCAATAAAAGAAAAGGAATCAAGAAAACAGTAGATATCACATTTAAAGTTTTGAAGATCAAAATCAAAATGTAAGAAGCCAGAAGAGAGTTCCACAAAGGAGATGTGTGATAGAAGAAACTGCTAACATAGAACTTACGGCTTCATCTGACCATTTCAACTGTAAAATGATGAGACCTTGCCACCAATCTAGTACTGTGCTTAAATTCATAAAGTCTAGGTACCATAGAGGAAAGTTCATCAGAACAATTACTATAAAGATATTTATAGAAAAGACAGAGAGAAGCTATGTTATGGTGGTTGCATTATTTACTAAAAAGGAAAGAATTTTAAATTATGAAACTAAAATATACGTAAAAATCAAATTTACTTATATTAGTATTTTTTCCGAATGTTTGTTAATGATGTCCGGCAATTAAGCTATAATAACAAAATAAAATCAGACACTACGAAAATTTCTTAAAAACCATATAAAAGACAGCACTGAAAAAAAACTTCAAATCAGCATAAATCTTTCTTTCCCTATCATTCTCCGCAAACACGCCCACGCACCCATGTATATTTTTCCAATGTTTTATAAATAATTATCAAACCGTACATTCGTCGTCGAATGACGCTGCAGTGGCACAAATTATGACATCATCTTTAAGATTTTTTGTAAGTGTTTCATTTCTTATCAGTAATTGTGAATTTAGCATGTATTAAGTTTTATCGAATAGATTTTACGGACAGAACGAATTGAATCCATGATGGCGAACATAAGTAATTTTTCCTAGTTTCGATAAATAAGGCATTGCATAATAACTATTAACTGATTAAAGTTTTATATATATATATGATTAACTCTTTGTAATATAAAATATATGCTGCCTATTTTATTATGTTCATATATATAATATATATATATTATACACTGTTACATTAGAACATGTAAATATCCACTACAAAATTGTACATTTTGTTTCAACGTTAAAATCAAACGTTTCTTCGGTTGGCTAACAATGATGGTACTAAACGATTTTATTCAAAATTGCGATTAATGAAACACTACTTCACTTTCCGTTTTTGATTAAATATTAAAAAATCTATTAATCCCTTATATATATATATATATATATATATATATATATATATATATATATATATATATATATATATATATATATACCGTAGTTACATTTTCTGGAAAAGAGCGTGTTTTCTAGCGTCAACAACAATTTGAACAAGGCAAACATGCTGAAGCCCTCGGCCACGATGACTTGTGACTTTGTGCTAGCACAGCTATCGACGGCCCCCAAGGGTTCCGTCTAATTTCACTCACAAGGCTTGGGTAATCCCATGGTAGGTTTTTCAGGTACTTTCAAAGGATTATGCACGCTGGGATCGACCTCGATCTAGTCCGATAGCATCAGGAAGTCGCCTTCCTGACAAATCGACCAGATTGAGATTCGAACCCTGGTATCATGGTTAGAAAGCGAACGCGTCCATAGTAAAAAACAAAAAAAAGTGAACAAAAAACACTATAAAATAGCTATAAATGTACAGCATTCAGACCCACAAGTATTTCTATTCAACAGTCTCTAGAATAATTGAAACATAACCGTTACCACTCACCTAATCACAGTTAGAATAATACAATCGACCTCATTACCCATAATGCACCATTGACCAGCATATATAATAGCCAAACAAAAATACAATACACATGGCCTGAAGACTGCGTTTAAGAAAGAAACTGTCTCTCGCCTCTTAGTGTTGATCTTAGTATCAATTTTAAATAAATATGAATAAAATAAAATAATCCTTATAAGTAAACAAATTAAGTAAATAACAAACTTGAATAGATACAAACACTAGTAAATGTAATAATAATAATAATAATAATAATAATAATAATAATAACAAATAATAAAACAGTCAAAAATAAATAATGAGTAAAAAATAGCTAAGAAATTATTCGTGCCACACAATTCTTCTCGTCAGATTCCATCTTACACATTTATAAATCTAGCTTTCGTCTGTGCATTGAATACTGTGGCCATATCCGGTCTGTTGCTCCGGCTATATATCTCCAAATTCTTGAAAAAGTCCAAAAGGCGTCTGCAATGTAATCGATCTTAACTTTTCTCACCGACGTGCCGTGGCATCTCTCTCTCTTTTCTACAAACATTTTCATTGCAACTGCGCTGATGAGTTTTTTTCCGCCATGTGTGTCCCGACTACATGAATGTAAACGTGCTACTAAATAGGCAATTCGGTCTCACCGTTTTACTGTCGAAATAGCTAGATGAACCCGCCACCTCTGATCTAACAGTTTCTCTACTCACATTTCCCACTTATGGAACTAAGTTGCTTCCTTGTTAACTCCAAGCTTCAACATTTTAAATCCAACATCAATCGCAATCTTCTCTCTTCTTGAAACCTGTTCCTATTTTTGTCATTTATCAACCCTCCCCATTCTCAATCTTCTCAGTATTTTTTACTTTCTGTCATCCACTGCATTCTAGTGGCATTACAGACTTTCTTGGAAATTATATATATATATATATATATATATATATATATATATATATATATATATATATATATATATATATCAAATTAGTCGCAACATATTTCATTGCACCTAGACGTATGGTTCTTTCGTTAATATTTCGGTCTCTCACACGATACGCGGCTGTTATTGGCATATACCAATCTTCTATATAACATAACAGAATATCATCTTTGATGGTGAATATCTTTGTTTAAATGTCCATATAACCATACTGAAGATGGCTCATGTGAGTCGAAAGATTAAATCAAGGAACAGCTTAATAAAAAAATATCCAAATATTCCAGTCGAATCCAGTTACATCCATTCATGTGTTAATACGCTTGGGAAAGGTGTGAATCCTCTTCTTCTCCCTACAGCTATGAGTAAATAGCAGGACAGACTGGGTTCTATAGCCTTGGCTGGCAACTGGTCTAGGAGAAGGAGAACTCTGAATTCAAAACCTGCGGAGGGTCATTTGGGGACCTTGTGACACGTAGTTGCACCAGGTCTCAGTATTCGGCCCTTCAAAAAGTGTGGATGGTCCTGCACGAAATCTTCACCACTGTAATCAAATCTCTTGCTGTTGTTGTCGGGCTGTCGGTTTCCTAGGAACTGATCTGCTTGACCCTCATACGTCGAATTCGACAGGAGAGTATATATATATATATATATATATATATATATATATATATATATATATATATATACACACATTACGACTGTTATATTTAACTGATCCTCAAGAGGGAAAGCGGAGATTTTTAAAAGACGCCCCCCTTAAAAGAAGGCCGATAGTAATCGGGATCATAAAGTCAGTGTGAATATCACTATCCTTTCTTCACCCTTCTTCTAGACATTTTGCCAACCAAAGACTGCCCTACAATAACTAAACGGACACGAAGAGGTGGATTGATTGATTGTTTTTTACGATTTATCAACCCTTTGCAGGTTAGTTAAAAATATTTTCTTTTGGAGATACCAATGATTTAGTAACATATGTCTAATTAATTAACTCATGGCTGGGAAGGAGAAGGGCTAGATGCATATCTTTCCGAAGGGCAACTGTGCGCAAGTGAATACAACAAACCCAACTGGAATTGGAACTCGGCTCTCCGATTAACAAATCCAAGCCGTTATTCATCACATGCACATCCAAGCTTACTGCTATTCACAAACGGTCACACATCTAGTTACCGACCAGTCTCGACGTTGCTTAACTTCGGTGGTCGTACGTGAACCGGTGTTTCAACGTGATACGGCCGTAAGCCAAAGAGATGTATTAATAGCTTTCCAGTGGGTATATGTATATAAGTAAAATTAGCGAACCCGACTAGAATTCAGATATGGCAGACATACTTCTCATTTCGAGTTGTTATCAATCAAACCAACCTCACACACACATATATATATATATATATATATATATATATATATATATATATATATATATATATATATATATATATTATGTGTCGAGGTTGTCATGCCGAGAAATTCGTCTCGGGGTATTTTTCAGCTCACTGGGGATTTCTAGGCCAGTGCTTATTTCCACGATAAGCAATATGTGGCAAATTGTAGAGGTTGCATTTTCTTTGATACTTGTCACAAAAGACAAAAAAAAGAACCTACTTTTGTATTTTATGCGTCTGCAGCAGCTTTCGGGAAAGCTAGCTAACAATCAAAAAAATCTTTAAAATATGTTTATATTATATTTCCATTCCTTTTGCCTCGCATCTCAATCCCTAAAAATCATTCTAGCTTTATCCATATGAATTCACGTCGTGTTTCGAACGCCAAAGTATTTTCTTTGTCTTTCTATGAACGTACGACACCTATCGGCAAAACGGCGTATTTTTCTTGTCTTTCTATGAATGTACGACATCTATCGACAAAACGGCGTATGTTTCTTGTCTTTCGACGAACGTAAGACGTCTATCGGCAAAACGACGCAATTTTCTCGTCTTTCGATGAACGTACGACATCTATCGGCAAAAAGGCGTATTTTTCTCGTCTTTCTATGAACGTACTACACCTATCGGCCAAATCGCGCATTTCTGCATGCCATCGCCTAATTCTAACCTCCAGGAGAGTGACTCATTGCGCCTTCTCGGGCTAACATTTTCCGCTGACAAGGGGGAAAGATTATATTGAATCAATTCCTAGATCTTCTGCTATGAAAGTTGGTTCACTGTGCTGTGCTAGACAATCTTTCTCTCCAGAATCTATCTTTCATATTTATAAGTCTAACATTTGTCCATGCTTTCAGTAGTGATGCCACATATCGTCCGATGCACCTGATATATATTTAGAGATTCTTGATAAATTCCAAAGAAGAATCTGCAATGTTACTAGTCTTGACCTGACATCTCGCCTTCAGTCACTTTCGCTGTAATGTAGCTTATCCTTGCGTTTTCTATAAATATTTTCATAGTAATTATTCTGATAAACTTTCCTATATGGTACCTAAACTCCAGGAATTTATGCCCACGCCTAAATTTGCGGCAAGGTCTCATCATGTTACAGTTGAAATGGCTAGATTTAACCGTAAGTTCTATGCTAACAGTTTCTTCTATCGCACTTCTCACCTGTGGCACTCTCTTTGGGCTTTTTGTTTCCCAGTCAAATTTTATCTTCAAAAATTCAAGTGTAATGTCAATTGCTATCTTCTGTCTTTATTTTTCTTTCTCCTTAATAGTATTTTCTCTTAAACTCAGTAATCCCTTGTGTCGTAGTGGCTTTAGTGCTTTGCTTGGGGTCAAATGATTTTTTAAAAACTCCATCATATAAGGTTGGTCCAAAATACCTGCATTTCTTTAGACAAAACCTTTTCACAGCATCATTGCCCAGGCTCCCAAAGTACTTTATAATCGGTATCACCAATGCAAGGCAGTAGAACGACCTTAAACTCAAGGGATTACAGAGTGTGCAGGAATTAGGAACAGAAACATTAATAATGAATGGAAAGAGAAAAGAGTAATTAGGAGGACAGTAGATAGTGATTGACATTGTATTTAAATTATTGTAGATTAAAGTTAAAAAGTCTACGTACCACAGTAAAGAGGTCATCCGTAAATGTACCATGAAATATCTATAGAAAAGACACAGGGAGGCAAGATTTATGGCAGTGGGAATGTGACTGAGGGCGAGTCAGGACCAATAATATTTCTGATTCTTCTTTGAATCTTATCAAGAAGATCTAGGTAAATAACAAGAGCACCGCACCCTATGTGTCAACAATATTGTAAGCATAGACAGATGACAGACTTATAGATATGTTAGATAGATTCTAGAGAGAAAAACTGTCTCGCACGACATATTGAAGGGATTTTCTTAGCAGCTGACCTAGTAATGGATTTAATATAGTCTTTCCATGTCAGCTGAGAACGTTAACCCGAAAAGGGGCAACGAGTCGCTTTCCTGGAGATTAGCATCAGCTATACTGATGGAAGGCAGAGAGGAAGGAGTCTTTCAGATGATTAATGGACAGAAGTTTACTTTTGGAGACACCTTCTCATTCTATGGCTTTTTGCCGCCTTTCAACTAAATTGTAGTTTCATTCATATTTGATGAACGCAAGCAAGAAGGAGAAGGAAGGGAGGAGAAGGTTATCTCTAGTGTTTGTTCAACACAATGCAATCTAACCTGTTATCTTAAATTTTCCCCATGTTCTCAGATACTGCCCCAAATGTTTCACCCTGTTCTCTCTTGTTCTTGTAACGGCATTCACCGGGGTGGGTTGAGCCGGCTTCAATATTGGAGTTTTATGGGAATTTGGAAATCACAAGCGGTCCCCAAACCCGCATGTATAGCACATGAGATTTGATTATAGTGGTGAAGGTTTCGTTCAGGACCATCCACACTTTTTGAAGGGCCGATTACACAAGGTCTCCAAACGACCATCCGCAGGTTTTGAATTCAGAGTTTTTTCCTTCTCCTAGACCAGTTGCTATAGAACCCACTCTGTCCTGCTATTTTACCCATAGCTGGAGGGAGAAGAGGATTCACACCTTTCCCAACGTAAGTGAATGTACTGGATTCGACTGGAATTCGAACTCGGCTCTCCGATTCCTCAATCCAAGACGCTATCCATTACTCCAACGTGCCTCCTCCCGCACAGAAACAGCTTTTGAGGGACCCAACCATTCAGTCGAATAATTCCAAATAACAAAACAAAAATGGACTTTCTAAAATAAATATCCCGTTGTTTTGGCGATGAAAAATAAAGAAATAAAAACAAAATTTGAATAGTAAAAGGCCTTAAAGGATGACGCACTCGTGTCGGGTATCAAAGTGTTTTGGCGTGAGACAAAAAACATATCGGAAGTATTGAGGTATAAAAATATAGATCGGTTTTCATGTCGAATTGTCTTAGAAGGAAACCTAAAAAAAAGCATTTATTTTATTTCTTTTAATAAAGATATTTCAATAACCTTTTCGCTCTTAACTGAAAATTTTAAATGTCATTTTGCCGCGTTCTTTTCTCCTGTCTTAAAATCATTTAAAATATCTGTGCAATATACCCATCGTCCTATTCCTTAGTCTTAGAACCAGTTAAAAGGCATGTGAAATGTATGACTTGTCCTATTCTCTTGTCTTAACAACAGTTAAAATACAGAGCGCGATGGATAAATTGTCGCTATTTTATATTTTTAATTTCGCGCATTTTTTGTTATAGTAGGGTCAGTTGGCTCCATATATGAGAAAAGTGCACCATGTCATGTCGCAAATCACTCAGCATGTAGTCGTTGGTGTCTCATCCTACTCCTTCGAATGTCTATTTTCATCTTCCCTTCCTTGTCGTACAGCTTCTTCTTCTTCTTCTTCTTCTTCTTCTTCTTCTTCTTCTTCTTCTTCTTCTTCTTCTTCTTCGTATATTTACTTTTCCTTTTTCCTTTTCCTTTCCTTCCTTAACGACCTTCTTCTTCTTCTTACCTTCAGTATATCTGGCATAAAATATTCTCCTATCTCTTTCTCATTTTAAGTATAATCGTTTTCTTTCTTTTAATTTTACGTCGTTGCTCACATGTTCAGCCCCTGGACTCTCCACACCCTCCTGTAGAACCACACTCCTGTATACTTCAAGTTACTTCTTCATCTGCGAAGAGATTGTCCAACATTCCCTACTATATAGGAAGATTGATACTCCGTAACTGAAATTGGCATGTTTCTTAATATTTTGCCGAGTTTTTGGAAGGTAACTTTCACTATTTCAACGCGCCATCGGATTTCGTTGAATCAACTCGCGAATTGATACAAAATGATGAGCTAACAATACTATCTACTTTATTATTAAATACACATATTTTTAATTTTATCTTGGGCACGTCGGAGTAATGTAATGGTTAAGCAGGTAGTGTAATTGTTAAGCCATGTGCCACATCTAAGCTATGCTTAGAAAATAACTATTTAGGAGCACTGAGACGCCGTGTAATTGTTAGCAAGGTTGTCTCGCTAGAACAATTACGAATGGTTAGTGAGTTCTATTCTAAATGGGTTCCTCATATTTTAGGCCTTATGCCATATCTAAGCTACGTTTAGAAAATTACCATATTTTACGAATGGTTAGTGAGTTCTATTCTAAATGGGTTCCTCATATTTGCAAAATGATGAGCTAACAATACTATCTACTTTATTATTAAATACACATATTTTTAATTTTATCTTGGGCACGTCGAATGGTTAGTGAGTTCTATTCTAATTGGGTTCCTCATATTTGCAAAATGATGAGCTAACAATACTATCTACTTTATTATTAAATACACATATTTTTAATTTTATCTTGGGCACGTCGAATGGTTAGTGAGTTCTATTCTAAATGGGTTCCTCATATTTGCAAAATGATGAGCTAACAATACTATCTACTTTATTATTAAATACACATATTTTTAATTTTATCTTGGGCACGTCGAATGGTTAGTGAGTTCTATTCTAAATGGATTCCTCATATTTTAGGCCTTATGCCATATCTAAGCTACGTTTAGAAAATTACCATATTTTAATCTGTCTTTGCAATACAAGTTACTGCAATAATTATTATTACTCATATTATACAATATTACTTTAGATCAAACGCAATAATCTATTAAAAAATGGAAAGGTTTTCAGGATTTGTTAAAATGAATGAAAAGAAACCAAAACAGCTTAAGGCAAATATATCCTGATTTAAAATATGAAAATAAATTATTTTACGATATCAACAGATATATGTTTTACTTTTAGGCACTACATACATTTGATATGCTCCTGTATTGTTTGGAGTAGTATG